GGCTTCCTTTGTTTATGGTGGTTTTAAAGGCGCGGTCTCGTTTACGCGGGTCGAAGAAGAGCTGTATGCGTGCTCATGGCGTTGGTAGCATTCCCCGAGCTGTCCCGTGGTATCGTCTTGCTTTAAGTTGCTTATAACTTTGTCAGACTCTGCCTTTTGGGGGATAATGCTCTGAATGCTTTTTTTCTACTTATTCTTAAAAATGGTCAAATAGGTGAACTGGGTTGGTTGTTCCTGAAGAAATTTGGTGACCTGTTCTTTGATGAACCTTATTTTCACTTTTTCTTTCTGACCTGGTCCTTAGGCACCAGCAAGGGTAGTGACCGGCAGCATTTTAAAAGCATAGAAGTACTTGCAGTGTGTCTTTTACTTCATGTTCTATGGCCAAGTTGAATGTCTTGTCATCTGTCTGCATATGATTGGAAACTTCAGAGCTTTCAGCTTGATTCTTCAGAAATCCAAGCTACACTAGGCTTCCCCCAGCACAGAGTTGCCATGAGGAAACAGGCTAATATGGTGTTGAAATGGAAACCAAGGGTTCATTCCCATGTTCCTTCAGTGCTCCCTTTGTCATTGGGGGGCTGGGGGGAGGGAAGCTATATGTATTAATTTCAGAAAGTTCGAGAATGAGAAGAAATGATACTCTATCATGACAACTGAAGAGAAGAAGCTAGAAATGAACAGGCAAGAACATTGATCTAGGACTGTGAGGAAGAGGGATGCAAAAGGCAGGAAGAAACATTGGATGAGGAGGCAGATTACTAGAGAGGAGCAAGGACTAGCTGAGCAAAGATGTACGTTCTTCTGCTCTTCTCATTGCGTTACGGATGACTGCGCTTGGCTGAGGCTTCTGAGCAAAGATGCCTTGGAGAGGGGAGGATGGGAACAGCTGTGGGCTGCATGAGAGAGAAAAGAAGCAGATGGGACAAGGAGTAAGCGCATAAGGGGGATGTAGCTTTTTCCTAATAGGAAAACAAATATTTTCTGGGTAAGAGCCTGGAGCGTGAAGATAAAGGAATGAAAAACTGGGATGCAGAACCAGAAGGCAAGGATGAGGAAGATGCAGTATTGAATGTTGAGAGGTATGATAGATATCTGTGGTATAATAAATGCCAAGCTGGGAAGAAAGGAAACTGTACATGAGCTTGGTGGCTAGAGAGTGCGCCCATCAAAGCCAAACACTTGGATCTCATTGTCACTGGCAGCTAAAATCCGTGAAACTGCTGGAACTACTCTGTTCCCCTCTAGGGCAACCATGGAGAGAAAATTACAAGCTGTTATTGTTTTCTCTCAACTAAGATGCGTGTTGCCCTGCAACTGAAGTAGTTTATCATCCTGTTGAATATGGATATCAATGTGGTATTGTGCAATGTCATGCTTTTAAGTGTGTTTTGCTCTAAAAAAAATGCGCGCAATCTAAGTATATTTAAAAAAAAAAAACTGGCTACAATGACATTAGGAAAACTTCCACAGCATTGGCGTAGCCTTTTCTGCATACTGCTAGAGCTCTTAAGGCCATTGTTGATTATTTTGTCTGGTGTCCTACATACAATGTTACTTCCCTTTATTAGATACTTGTAAGACAGTTGTTGCTCTTAAGCTAGAGTTTATCTTTTAGAAAAGCTCATGGTACAGATTTTAATACTTTCAGTCAAAGAGAATCCTTCTCAGTCCTTGGTAAGGTAGTTTGCTGATTAGGCTTCTCTATCATGGTTTTTGACTTTTGTCTCAAGTTAATTTTCGTAGTTCCAGTATTCAACCATTGCACCCATTTTGCCTCTTACCTATCAAGCTGAAGTGTCCCCTCGTAAACAGTTTCTTCCCTGTGTAGATTGTAATTAATTAAATCTTAATTTAGCAAAAAAAAAAAAAATCTCCTGTGATAACATAGTTTTCAATTCTCTAATTAGCCTTGTTGTTCTTCTCTAAGCCTTCTCTAACCTTTTGGCATTCTACTTGAACTTCTGACTCTCTGAAAATGTGTGCAGCCCTTTATTACCAGTCTTCATAGTGCTAACTAAAGAAGTCGGGTTATCATTCTGTTGGGTATACCCTTATCCCTGTTCACCATTGTGTTTCAGCTGGGAGCTCATATTCAGGTAATTATCTACCATGATATTCAAGTCTCACTGCTTCTCAGAAATATGGTCCAGCATCCTGTATCCATCACTCTTATTGTTCACTGCTAAATGTATTACCCTGTGTGAGACTTCATGGAAAGTATGTGTTTCCATTCAGGCTGTATCTTGCTGTCCTATTGGTCTGTTCCTTTCATTCTCGTTTTTCCAGTCTGTTATCTCATTTACAAGTGATCAGGAACTTTTCTTCTGTTGGATCAAGAACTGCTTCATGTGAAATTTGCACAAGTGATGCAGCCACCAGTGATAATTCTCTATAATGCCTTCTAAAGCCTTGTTATAGAACCATTTAAATTCATTTTAATGTATCTTATGTTCATTTTTTTATCTTTCTAGTTTGTTATGCAAAATGCTTTCTGATACCAGCTCAAGTATATGATATGAGTTGTAGTTTAACAATTTAAAACTTTCATTTTCAATGATTAAATTTATATCCTTACTAAAAAAAGCTAAGTTAGGCAAGATTCTTTTTTTTTTTTTTTTTTGCACTTAATCTGTATTGTCACTGTCGTTTAATTCTTTGAGTTGATCCCCGATCAGCTCTTCCATTTTTCTTCCCTGGATTCATGCCTGCCTGACAAAGTTCAGTTTCCCCCTCGCTCCTTCCTTCCTTCCTTCTTTTTTTTTTAAATTCTAAAGTAATGTTTAAAAAAACAAGTCCTTAAGAAATTCACTAATGCTCCAAAATTTGCTGAAAATTGGTACAAATAAATATTCTGGGATCTTTGGTCAGTTCTTTTAAAAATGTCTAATATTTGCATTTACTTGTTGGAATGGAATTCTTTTAACATTTTAGTGCTAATGTAGACAAAGATTTCAGTTGATTTTTTTTTTTTCTCCCACAGAATTTCTCTTTCATGTGGTTTACTGGCTGGATCTGCTCAGGGAATGAATGAGGCGTGTGTGATAAAAGAGGGCAGTTGTTTGTAGACCACCTCTTCCATTCCTTGAAGAAAGGAAGGTGTAAAATGAATTAAGTGAAGATTTTGTAGGAAGAGAAAGGTGATCTCATGATTGGGGCAGTTGAATACCACTGACAAAGTGAGTTTGATGTTTGCATTTATTTTGAGGTCATGTTTTTTACAGGTTCTCCTCGCACAGCTTGTGCATCTCTCAAATTCTCAGTGAAAATTTGTAGTCAGAGGAGCAGATGTGTGGAGTAGCTGCAATTGAAGTCTCTGCTTTGAACAGATAAAATGCTACGTAGCCCAGCTTTTCAGAATTTAAACATTTCCAGTGGGATGCATGTGATTAGCTGGCCTTCTTGGCCTTAACCTATTTACCTCACTTATTCATTTTATTGGTAAGGGAAGTGGGCAACTGTACGGGCATGCTGTGAAAGAGCATTCTAATATTGCAATAATGAACACCTTGAAAAGCTTAATACCAAATCAGTTTTTGGATAGTGTATGTATGACTCTGTGCTGAACAAAGAGGATAAAATAAAACATTGAATCACTGCTCAGTCACTTGGTATGAAAACCACCTTGTATGGCAAATCTCATGTGATTAGATAATTAAAGAATATATGTTAAAATTCATGAGAGGTCTGACAAAGTTGCACGTACAGCCTTAGTTGCTTCAATTCATACCTCTACTTTGCACCTCTAAAATTCCTTCTCAGGAGATTTCTGTGTTAACTTGTGAGCAAGTTAACAATACTTTTCTTAATAAAGCGTCCAGCAATTTCTTAGCTGTGGTATTTCAACAGTGTTCTAGTCCTTGCTGCAATTTGACACAGGTTTTAGACCTAGGATTACATATGCCCTTGGCTTTGCTCTAAGCTGTTAATTATGAAGCATTTATGTCTGAAATGTGTTATGCCCCTAGCAGGCATTTTTGCAGCAGAAAAATATGGATGTTCCTTATGTACTGAACCTCCTTAGAGGAATGCCATGTCTTGTCTACTCTGAGCACTTCCTTCCTCACAGAGAAGCTGCCCCTTCAATGGTGATATTGAGCCAAAGGATTTAGGGAAGGGGAAGAGGAATGTTTCTTGTTCCAGTTCTTCTCTTCCTGAATAGTTTTTATTTGAGCCGCTGTCTTTCTTCAGTTCTCATTAATGTCTGAAGGTAAACATGAAAAAGGTTTCGTCTCCTTCTCAAATGTTATCCTCCTTCTAGTGTTTGTTTTAAGGTCTCTAAACCATTTTATGTCTGCTTCTAAGGGGAGAAAGCAAGATACTGAAGTGCTTTCCCTCATGCTAAGAAAGCAGTGTAAGTTTCGCAAAGGGGAAACCATGGGTGCAGAGGAGTTACAGAGATGTAGAAGGGAATGGAGGAAAAAGAATAAAGAAGAAACAGCAGTATTTTGTGATGGGAGTATTGAATGTGCATGAAGGCTCATTAGAGGAGTTTGTGCTTGCTCAAACTTGAGATACTGTGCTTGGCTCAGTATTTGTTCTCCTGTTGGGTTAGAAAGACGGTAGTGGAGGCTTCGAGGGGCAAAAGGAACAGTGACTACTGTAGTTTTTCTAGGCATAAGATACAAATACTGGGATTTTTTTAGCATTTAGATGTCTCAAGAGGATTGTAGAGCTTCTTTGTTCTGGGCGTTGTTGAAGTACATTCATTCAGAAAACAGTCCCAAATAGTCTGTGGCAAGTCTCTGTTTATATCTGAAAGTGTCACCAGTGTAGAGATTATCTTTATAGTAGAGGGAACTGCTGTGCAATCATATGCGTTTCCTACCTCTAGCGCTTCCCTGTTTACCCACTGAGTGGGTGTCAGCATAAAGTAAGTCTGCACAGTGACACCACACACCTTTATCTTTTATGGCAACAGAACTGGGGAATGTAGTTCTCCTCAACTGCCTAGTGCCTGAGGTTACTATGAATTGATCTCCCTGCTCACTTTTCTGTGCTCCGCTGCTAAGGGTGTGTCTGACCAGTTGCTCAGAGAGCCGAGGTGAATGCAAAGGTCATATTTGTGAATATGCTTCTTGAAGCAGTCAAGTAGCACCTTCTCTGCTGGTTCCACCCATCATTCTCCATTGTGTATGTTCCTGCCTGGAACAAGGAGATTGTTGCTTTATTTGCCTTTTTGAATATGGAACGCTTGTTGTTCCAGCTGGGACGTGCGTGCCAGACTGGAAGGAAATTCAAATGCCTGTTTAAACATATGGTTGAACTGGTCTGATATTGACTATATCAGTATAAAATGTTAGTAAGTCATGGTGACAATACAATAATGCTTCCAGCTTCCCCCACCCTGAACCTCTGAGGAACAGTCAGCCTGTGTTTGATCTAAGTTAGATCTAAACACTTGGGAAAGCCATCAGCACGGTGCTGATAATCTTGGTGAGCTTGAGAAGTAGAAGGATGTCACTGGCCTGTCTACTCGGATGGCTGCTTGATATTCATTCCATTGTCTTGGAGGCCACCAGTCAGGACCTGTTCCAGGAGCAGACACTAGGACATATCTGCCTCAGTGAAGAGGATGATGGAGACGACAGACTTAGATGAGGAGTCCTCAGCTGGTAAGTTAACATGGCATTGTGTAGTCATTGTGTTTCTTTGGGTTTTTTCCCCCTTTTTATGCTAATTAGGGAGGCATCAAGTTTCCTTTGCTGCTTCTGTTTGCATAAGTCATTAGGCATGTAGAGCTGTACCAGTTCAGAGCTTACCAACACTAGAAAACTTAGGCCAGCAGTAGCTTAGAGTAACAGTAGCAGCATAGATCCTCTTGAAAGTCATCTTCCTTTTCCCCTTCAACTGACACAGCAATATCCTTTCATTCCTGGATAACATTAGTTAACCCAGTAAAAGAGCTTTATTTTTTCAGCCTAGTTGCATCTGTCAGGCCTTCCCCCAGTATAACTTCATCAGCTGAGGGTGTGATGTGCATTATCTTTTTAATACTGTCAGGGGGCATAGCTGTGATATCAAAACTTGCTGTAGACTAGCCCTTGGTTCCTTCCCGATTCTGTTACCACCTAGCTACCTTCCAAATTCCCCTGCAGCTCTTTTCTCTGTTACCTTACCTTCTGTCATTACTCTTATCCCTCTGCTATGTAGCGTGTGGCCATACCTTCCTATTCTTCCCTGTAAAGTTTCTTACGTCGTACTTTAGATGTGCAGATCTCTTAAGTTGCTTCTATACTGAACATCATATTAGTGTAGTGAAAGATCTCTTTCACCTTACTGAAGCTTTGGATTAGTTGCATCTGTAATTCAGCACACACACTCCATGGAAAAATGTAAAAGAGCTCATGCAGAGGAGAGGATTTGGTGATTCATGGGCGTCATTTGTTCCTGCATGAAAGCTACTGGAACAACTTATGCTAAGCTAGTAGATTTATTATTGTTGATGACCAGCTCATTTAAATTTGGTTTTGTTGTTGGCTGGCATTATTATCAGGGCTGATACAAAATGGCTTTACAAGACAAAGCATATTGCATTTCTTCCATGTTTCTTCACTTACCCATCAGCAAATCTGATCGTTTTGGCAAAAGCCCTGCAATCTCCTTGGTGGTGGTCCCTGGCCTTGGAACCTGTGTCAGAGTGGGAGATTGGAAATGATGCAGGTGGAGTTATAAATCTCGTTTAACACGTCAGTCTCACAAATCCCCCAACCTTCTGAAATCAAAGTTGATCTTTAATGTAGAAATAAAGATCCCTTTTCTGAGACTAACATCATTGCCTACTATCTTGGCTGTGGATGCTATAGTAGTGAACTAACGTAATGAGAACATTACCAAAAGAATCCTCCCTCCCCAGGAAAGGGTATGCTGTCTTTGGGGGAGTATTAGGTTTCTGTGGCAATTATATTGACTGCTGTTGCTGAGTGATACTTGTTTCTTTGGACAGTACCTGAAGTAGACACACCTTGGTGGTCTAGTGTATGGTGCACTGGCCCAGGACTTGGGATATATGGCATGGCCACAGAATTCTTGGGCAGCCTTGGGCAGTCCAATCGACTGTGCGACTGAGCACCCTATTTGTAAACTATAGATGATATTAGCCCTTACAGAGGTGGCTGTGAGGATAACGTTAGTTGTCAGACTGCATACACCACTATAGTGCTGAGCCATGCATGAATAGAGGGAAAGGTATATTATACTCATGCACCAATTTCAGTGAGCTCCAGAAAGACTGATGTGAATAGGAAGATAAACAATCAGGACAGAGCGGAAGCAGCTCTTTAAACGGGTTATACTGTCTAAAAGGAGGGATGGAGGGTCACACAGTACGTGCCTCTCTGCAGTGAGAAAACAAGGAAGTTGCTGAAGTTTGCCATCAGCCAATGCAGTACACTTTGTGCTACAAAATTTTAAGAATCGCGGGAGCGCCAAAAAGTTCTATTTTCTTCCCCCACGAGATCCCAGCCAATTTCCTGTCTTGGGCAGGTAAAGAACTCATTTTACTGGTCTGTGACAAGCAGGATTTTTTAATTACTTTTAGCAATGTGGTATTTCAACTGTTTGTTAGAATCTGTACTGTTTAATAAAGCAGCCAAGATTTTGTTTCAAAACGTATTTTCACATTTTTTAATAAACTTAAGCATACATCTTAACACAGTAGGTGAACAGGTGTCTTGGGAAGGATACCATGTCTTTGTACCATGCTTGGTACGATGGATCTCTTTTTAGGACTCTTAGACGCTGTCACAATACAAACCCATTATTAAGTACTATTAAAAGACAGATTATGGCAGATCTTAGAGCGAAGCATGGTGAAAGTTATCAGGTTGCGTAGTTACATAGGCTCATGAGCTTGCGCTTTGCCTGTATGTGTCCGAATTAACATCTGAGATAAGCAGCTGCAGCTTAAGTGTCAGTTTGCCTGCACTGACACCCTACATGTGTGTTTGTAGAGGAGTTGTTGGGGAAAAAGCTGGTGATAGGTTCTAACCTTGGAAGAGTGAGAGGTCAGGGTCTGTGTGAGTCTTAAGGGAGAGCACAGCACAGCACGGCATGGATGTGTACTGTGTGTGATGAGAGAAGAATGTGACCGGGGGAAGGAAGGATAAGAAAGTGGGAGAGGAGGAGAGAAATGAAGGAAGAATGGGGAGACTGAAGTAAGAATTGGAAAGGGAAGAGGAAGGAAAGATGAGACTCTTGAGATAAGAAATGAAAACAAAGCAAGAAAAGGAAGGAGGGGGCAAAAACTCAAGGAGAGCGCTGTGCTAATGATAAAGAGGATGATCATACTGTGGCAGAAATGCATTGGACACAGTGGGGCTGCACATAGCTCTGTGTGGATGTGTGCAAATAAGCATGATTGTGTTAGTGCTGCTCAACACTTTGAGCAAGGCTGTTAGCCTTGCTAGTGCTTTCTTCACTGTACATGTGTTCCCCATCCTCACCTTCCTCTTGCACTGTGATGCTCTTTGTGTTCAGAGAGGCCCTTGCTTTTATTTTTGAATTAAATTGCTGCCTGTATATGACAAAGAGACTCCAGTTCATTGGCCTGTTCTCTGATCACCAAGGATGTCTATATGGTGTCCTAGACATGCAGCAAGTTTTTTTTCTTGCAATCCTTTTCAGAATCTAAGAATTCTTTGGATATTTTACAGTATATAATATTTAGTTAACAAAAGCTAAGGTGCATCTTGTAAGAAGAAAGAATAAATGGATTGTGAAGGGTAAAGGAGAAGTGCACGAGGAAACAAAATTACATAAATAATATGAATGCCTTGAAAGACGGGGAAAGTGTGTTACATTAGTAAGAATGAGGAAACAGGAATTTAGATCTTTGTTTGTTTGGTTGGTTGGTTTTTTAAATACCAGATAGGACTATTAGTATAATCTTGTCTGGTAGCACAATATAGGCCAAGCAATTTCAGCAGTATTCTGACCCTCTGACAAGTTGTGTGAGATGAAAAAATATGTCTTTTTTTTTTTTTTTAAAGGGCAGACAACAGCTTTTGAGTTAAGCTGCAAATGTTAGAAAACTTCCCCGTGCCTAAGTAAACTACCTTCCATATGAGTAGTTTGTTGCTCAGTTAAACTTGTTTAGCTGCAGCTTTATCTTGTTATACTCTCTGTTTGTACCAAACTCTCTGGGTCATAATTTGTAAGGAGATATACTCCTGCTTTCCACTTTTAGTGGAGTAAACTAAGCATCTTTATCACTGTTCTGATTGCAAAGTCACTGTACTAACAATTTTTTTGTTTTCTCCAATTTATTGACAAAACTATTACAGAATGTTGGTCCAGTAATAGATTTGCACATCTTTTTACTGGGGTTTTAGGAAACTAATTTTGCTGTGTTTTCAGCAGGGAAGGAACCCAAATGGCAGGGGTTTGTCTCAGCAATCCCTGTGGAAACCTGCCCAGCTAATGAGCTTCTGGAAGATCATTGCTCATATGTGTTTGACTGATAAATGATCTGACGACTCTATCTGTGCTGAGCCTGTTCTAGGCTAGAGAATCAAAGCTTGGTAATGCCACGCTCTGCAGTTATGCTGGGCGGCTGAGAGACACTGGGAACAGCGTTTATCTCCTGTGATGTGAATTCTCCGCAAGCGAAAGCGGATAATGAGAAGAAAGAACGATTGACCTGACTGAGGGGCTGGCAATGAGGCGAGGAGATGCTGGGAGTATAGAGACTCTGGACGATAGGTGGAACAGGCTGAAAGGGAGAGACCAGACAAGCCATGATACAGATGCAAAGGGAAAACACACTTTCCAGTTGAGGTATATGCTAGCGTTAGTGACAGACGGTGGCAGATTTTTACAGTAACATCTGTAAAAACTAGAGCCTGGTCCCTTTTAGATTCTGTAGCAGAAACAAATCCTGGATGAGGTTTCTCCTGCTGTTAGAAAATTGCTGTGAAGCATAGCAGTAACCTCATTTAGGATTGTTCCACCCAGAGAATAGCATCCTCCTGGTTTTTGTGTTTACTCGGGTGTTCTCTTAATGTAAGGGTTCTACTCCTGCCGAGGGGGAAGTGTGACTGTAAGTGGTGTAATTTGTGCTTTTAGTGACTTTCCTTTTTAGAGGAGAAAAAGTTATGCCAATTCTTTTAAAAGGATTATAAAATCAAGAATTTAGAAGTCGTGATGTTCTAGAATTAATAAACTCCATGTAAATTTGACACGTTCTTTACAATGGAAGAACAGATACTGTTTTCCTCTAGAGGATACCTGTCTTGTCTGCTGCAGGGGAGGAATGAAAAGGAGTGTACTGCTTTATGACCCATGTTTCATTTGCTGTACAAATTTGAAAGGTTTGAAGTCAATGAGGCTGGGGATTGCAGGAAGCAAAAAGGAATGATCTTTGCGATTACAGAGCTGAATTTCATCCTTGCCATCAGTTCCCTTTGTAAGCAATGAGAATTTGCCTGGAGCTGTATCCCCGTTGTTTTATGAGATGCTTTGTTGAGCCTTAGGGATCTAATCTGGTAGTAGGCTGTTTGAACCTTGTATGAAGGCTGTCATGCTGGGCAAATGTGGAAGCAGCAAATTTAGGAATATGCAAGAAGCGTTTTGCTGCTTCCTGATTTTTTGAGAACTTGATTTCGTACTGTTAACTGTCCTTGAAGGCAGGGAAAAGGGAGGTATCTATATATACTGTGTGACTATAATGGAAACACTCTTAAGTACTTAAGGGCACCTACTATCTGAGCTTTTCTCAGATATTTAAAGTGGAAATGGCAACAATGTGTTGAAGCAATAGCTTGATTAATTATAAGGATTTTGTATGTAACTTGCTGCATTCTCTTTGTGCGATTAAAAAAAAAACAGGTAAAAAGGAAACAGCTTTTGAGCTCAGTGAGGCACAGTGTTGGTTTTACCTCTTGTAGGAACAAATTTCATGGCCTGCATATAGTACTTGTATGGATCTGTCTCTTCCATTCATACCTCTCCTGCTGGCTGATTTGCTTTTGAGGGAAATGTCTTTACTGTGGAAACACACCTGGTAATGAAAAGAGAGACTACTCCTAGGGTTGCCGGGACTGATGCCTTAGAGAGCTTTGATTATGGGTAGAGACACCTTCATTTATGATCTGGGTTAGCAAGGGGGGTTCAGGAAGCAGACATGCTTATGTTGTGTTTTTGAAGAGTTTCTGCCACTTTTTTTTTTTTTTAAAACCTGCAAGAGGTTTTTCGTTTGATATAAAGATTACAAGAGCCAAGCTCGGAATTCAAGTTGATGCAGCGATGCTAGATCTACTTTTGATTGGAGAGAGAGAGAGAGAGAGAATTGTTTTATTAGCCTTGTCAGTTGGGCATCTGATGATGGCTATGGGAACTTCACGTTGCTCGTTCAGACCCCTACAAACATTTGTTATTTACAGTGTGCAGCAGAAGTCCATCCTTCCAGGTGCTGGATAGACCACACTGAGATTATGGTGCAGAAGGCAAAACAAGGAGCAAGAGATAGCAAGTCTCTCCCTCCTGTCTCAGACTTGCTCTTTGGCTCTGCACAAAGTGTCTCCTGTCCCCTGTCTGTAAAGTGGATGCACTGAAACTGACTCACGTTGCTGTAAATTAGCATTTGATCGACTTTAGTTTTGACATCCTTGCACAGAAATAACTAAATGACATTATGTACCAATTATTGTGCTTTTTTTCCCCATTACTAAATAGAGTTTTTTGATGGATATGTTGACGGACTTCATTATAAGTTTTGTTTTGCTACTTTTTTAATTTAGGCCTTTCTGCATGGCAGCAATTTTCTTTTAACTAATATGTATTGTAGAACTGTGCACCTGAATTAAATAAATCATGCTTTTGTAGTCTCATTTAGAGTTGACACTAAATGGAGGCACACTAATGTGCACCAGGAAATGACGTTGGGAGTCGCTAGAGTGCTGTATGTGTTTATCAGCTGAGTTAGCTTTGTTTCTGCGTTGGCTTCCTGAACATGAATCTGACATCCATATATCCTCCTTTCCCTGCAGGTATTGAGAATCTGCCATTTGAATTGCAGAGAAACTTCCAGCTCATGCGAGATCTGGATCAGAGAACAGAAGGTGAGGGTTAGAGATGATTTCTGTGACGAGGCAGGGAGCGTGCAGCTTGACGAGCTTTTCTTTTGTTTGCCTTTGTCACTGGGATCTCAGGGCAGAGGAGGAAGCCTGCAGCTGCCCAGATCTTTCTGTCCCTCTTAACAGAGGGCATTGCAGTGCGTGCGTGCATTTGTGTGTATGTATGTTTATGTATTTAACAGTGAACTTTTTTCAGACCTCAAGTCAGAGATCGATAAATTGGCCACAGAGTATATCAGCAATGCACGGACTTTATCTTCGGAGGAAAAACTGGGGCTTCTGAAGCAGATCCAGGAAGCCTATGGGAAATGCAAGGAGTTTGGGGACGACAAGGTTCAGCTGGCTATGCAGACCTACGAGATGGTATGAAGGGAAGTGTCTAGTGCTTCTCAAATGAAGGGCTCTGCTAAAATCCCCAAACCTAGAAGGGTCTTATCTTTCTTTTAGACCCTGTGCATTCTTGCTTCTCTGTTCTTTGTGCGAGCCCTGTGCCCTCTTGTCTTTGTCCACTTGGGCTGTGTTCTGTGGTAACTCCTGGTGCCTGTCCTCTTTGCAGGTGGATAAGCACATCCGGCGGCTGGACACAGACCTCGCCCGCTTTGAAGCTGACCTGAAGGAGAAGCAGATAGAATCAAGTGACTATGACAGTTCTTCCAGCAAGGGCAAGAAGAGTGAGTACCACTACTGGGCTGCAGATTGATACAGGAGTCCGGCCAGCAACTGTGGAAGTGGTGGGGATGAAGGCAGGCACTGGAGTGGTACAGGTCAAAGACTGCTATGCTGAAATCTGAAGGACAGGTAAAAAGATGGTGACCTGAGCCCTTCTGGTGTAAAAACATTTAGTGCTACCAGAGAAAAAGATGCAGTGCATGACCCAAAGGCAATGCAGTAGGGGTGTGTTTTAGTGCCAGAGAAGTTGTTAACTATCAGGTTTTATTTCTATTGAGTAGCAAATTTAACACCGTCTTCTCTTCTTACCAGAGGGCCGAGCCCAAAAGGAGAAGAAAGCTGCCCGTGCTCGCTCTAAAGGGAAAAACTCTGATGAGGAGGCACCGAAGACTGCCCAGAAGAAATTGAAACTTGTCCGCACGTAAGTGATGGGCAGATTTGGGGGAAAGAGGAGCAGCATTGCAAATCAGACCAAGGAAGACCTAGCTTAGGCTTACCTGTAAAGAATCTGATCCCCACCTAGACCCAGATTGTTTGTCCCTCTGTCCCTTCTTCTTTGGAAGCAAGAGCAGGGAGCCCTTTTAATTCTTGCAGAAGATTGTGGCCCAGTCACTGCAGTGGAGGTGAATGTATATTCTCAAAGAAGAGAAGTGTGGCAGACAAGGGCATTGTTTTGGGAGACATGAAGGGACACCACACTGGTTACTTTGCTGACCTACTTTATTCCCATCCTGCAGTAGCACAGAGTATGGGATGCCTTCAGTGACCTTTGGAAATGTGCACCCTTCGGACGTGTTGGATATGCCTGTGGACCCCAATGAGCCTACTTACTGCCTCTGCCACCAGGTCTCCTATGGGGAGATGATTGGCTGCGACAACCCAGATGTAAGAGTTTGCCCTAGATGGAAATAGGGGAGAGGAGGGTGGAGAGAATCTCGTGCAGAAAGTCTTGTCCTGCTTGGGTGGGTTCTGATATAGCAAGCAGTGACAGTAAGAGGGTTCGTCTCGGAGAGTGTAGAGGGGCAGGGGGGTAACTTGCCATGGCCTGCTAAGTGCATCTTTCTTCATGGTTTTCCCTAAAATGACAGGCTGTTTTCTTGACCCCCCACTTAACAAGGAAGGAAGGGAGTTCTTACTAACAATGTGCAGACTGAGTATGATTCTTCATTCCCTTACTGATCCTGTAGGGATTTAGGAATTTGTGAGATCAAGTGCTGGGAAACTTGGGTGGCCCAGAAATAATGATTTCAAAAGAAAACTACCCTTTGACTTATTGCTCTCCACCCCAACAGTGTTCCATTGAATGGTTTCATTTTGCCTGTGTGGGTCTGACAACAAAACCAAGAGGAAAATGGTGAGTGGATGCTGAAAACAAGCACTCTGGAGGGCCCACAGGTCTCTGGAAAGGGAAGGTCCTGGGTGGTAGAAGGGAGAATGTTGTATACAGACTTAAAAGACCTCTTAAGAAGGAAAATTTGAGTTAAGGCTTTGTTTGGGACCCTTGGAGAACGTCCTTTGGGACTGTATGTTGCAGGCTCCTATTGTGCATAAATGCTGGCTTTTGTCTTTCCTTTATACCAGGTTCTGCCCTCGCTGTTCCCAGGAGAGGAAGAAGAAGTAAAATCCCACAAGCCCTCAGTACTGCTGCAGGAGCTCTCTTCTCCCCTGCCAGGGCCTCGTCACAGCTCTCCCAGCCCCTGGGGCCTTGACTGGGGGGAGTCTTGCCCTGCTTGTGGTTTGGGCCATCCCTGGAATGGTGTGTACCCTCATGACAGTTCCTGTGTGTTCTGTATCCCTGGCTGCTTCCAAATCCCTAAGGGAGGTCCTCTCTGTGTACTATTCCAAACAGGTCTGTGAACCTCAAAGGGAATGAATGAGGGCACCAGGGTAGCCACCAGATTCCCAGGGATTCAGGTAGCCCCTGATTTTCCTTGGCTTTCCTTCAGCCCCCTCAGAGTTCATTGCCTACCCTCTGCTTAGAGAACAAGGCTATGGGATGGGGGAAGGAAAGGAGGTAAGTCTTCAGCATTTTAGGTCTCTGATTTTCCTGGATCTTTCTCAGGAAAGAGGGAGTAACCAGGCCACTTCTTAAGTTAGTGGGTTGGTTGAGAGACTGAAAACCTACTCCCTGTCTTTAACCATTCCACTACTCTGTCTGGCATTGAGCAGCCTCTTTTGTTGGGAAGAGGAGGAAGAGGGAAGAGTGTTTAGAGCTAGCTTTTGTCTCTCTTAGTCCTTTTCTGGGGTAAACCTGCTGGCTTGGGACGCACATTGTGCAAAGGAGGGAGAATTTCTGACTGCATGGGGAGAAATGGCTTATCTAGCCTGTCTTCTGGCCCCAGAATTCTCCCTCCCTTTTGTGCAGTTGGGCTTCTCTGTTCTGTTGATGATGGGAAGTTTGGGGATCCAGATCCCACTTGTAAAATACAGAACTAAATAAAGCTCATTGAAGCAAATACTCTGTTTGCCTTGCTGTCACCTCTGAAGTAAAGGGTGACAATGGGTCTTTTCAGTTTTTCTTTCTCTCTCAGCACTACATTATTCTGAATGATGAGTGCAGTACAGATTTTTGATGCAACAGTCCTGAGCAGCGTTGGTAAGAACAGGGGAAGACTTAAATTTGCCTTGTGACATTCTGCCTGAGTCAGGTTTGAAAATACACCTGAGCCACTTGCCAAAAGATTACTAGAAGCTAGAAAGCTTCTGTAACATATCTGCCCCTTCAGTCATGTCCCCATGAGAAGGGGAGCGTTTATTCATGTTTTTGTTGGATCATTTACATCAGCTGTCTTCTCTTGAATGAGGATGGAGGAGGGTATAGAAGGCCAACCCTCACTATGGCTGTTGGGCAATACAGCTGAGAAAATAAACCATCAGCTGGCAAACCACGTGCATCCAAGACTGTGGACAGGCCTTTCAGATATCCTGACAACTTGCTCCCTAGTGGATCACCTTCACTTTGGATCACCTTGTTTTCAGAAACTCCAGTTGCTGTTACAAAAAAATGCAAGGTTCCCAAACAGTTACTGAAGATATGTCTCTCTTTGTAGGGTCTGCAGGACCCTACAAAGAACTGTGAGGAGGTGATCCACACTGAAGCTGACCCTTATATTTATTCCATTGGTGTTGCCTGGAGAGGGATGAATTTCAGTCCTCTTTCTTGTTCTCAACTATTCATGAGGGTTTAAGCTTTTCACAGGAGTGAAACATGAAATGTTCATGTCACGCAGAAAACTTGCACGAGGATCAATGGAGTATTTCTGTTCGTGTAGTCAGAAAGCAGAAGCTCTCCTTTTAGGAGTTCCTTATTAAAACCATTCAAAGGACTGTGTAGGTGGAGAGCCATGCTACTTTTGCCTTGTCATACTGTACGAGGGGCCCTATCAAAACCATCAGCTCAGAAGCTGGTACTGAGTCTCTTGTTAAGTGAGTTAGCAATGAGTCATTCTTTGTTTCCTGTTGCCTGGAGAGGTGCTTGTGTTCCCATCTTGCACAAGGATCAGTAAGCTTTTACCTAGGTTGCTGATTGTGTGTTCCGTGGTGCTACTGTCACAGTCTGGGTTTAAACCCCCAGATTGTCTTAAACCATTTTTCTGGGGCTTCCCTCCTTAAACAGAGAGGGAAGATATTGGCTGTGTGTCTGGCACTGCCGTGGTTACATGAGAGCCTGCGCCGTCGTCAGGTAGGTGAGAAGGCTATGGCAGAAGAGCTATTTTTTTCAGCTGGGGTTTATCCAGATATCAAGTGTGAAGTTAAACTTAACAGAACAAAGGGAGGATATGGCCTGAACTTAAACTGGCTTTGGGGATGGAAACACTAGTTCACATGGTTTGGTTTTGATGGAATAGGACACTGGGTTATAATGGTCACCGTTAGCACCAAGCTCTTCAGAAAGTATGTGGGATAGAGAGGTATCTGAGAAGGTAGACCTGCAGTGAAGCCACTGCTGATTCAGGATAATAAGTAGTTTATAAATGCTGCTGTTTATTGCCTTCCAGTCCAGGAAACAAGATGAGCTGCTGCTTAGGTTCTGCCTACTGTGCAGAAATAATTCTATTTAGGGTAGGTCTAGTTTGGGAAACGCATGTCCTGCGCTCTTTTGCAGTCACGGTAGAACACTGTGTGTGTGGTGTGGGGGGAGGAGGGAGGGTTTAGCAGCAACTATTTCCAAGCCAAAACTTTCCAAAGCAACTATTTCCAAGCCAGAGCTTGGGCATAATGCTAACCTTGTGTTCTTTGGGGAACAGAGCATGTTTTCTTGTTATTTTAGAGTTCCTAGCTCCTGTTAGGCTTTTTGGTTGTTTATAGTGATGGAAATAGATGGAACGTTCCTATTACTTTCAGCATAAAAGACAACGAGAAAACACCTAGGCTGGGATTTGTTTCAGTGTCAGAAAACTGGTGGGAGTACTAGGTAGGAAAAGGATGCTTATCATTCGGGATGTTTGCTGCAGTTGAGGGAATGCTCAGAAGAAGAATGTGTGAAAAAGGAAATTAGACAAAAACATGGCTGAAAACCAAGACTTTTAAAATAGCTTACAAGTATAAATACAAATGAGAGAAAGGACACTTTAAAACTAACTTTGGAGCAGAAGGAATAAAGGCAGCAACTGCAATATTTAGTCACCAAAGGGGGAAAATAATGGGATAAAATCAGTAGAAGCTAGAAATTACAAAGTACAAAAAATGAAACCATTGGGAACAAAGCCTCTAAGTGGCAAGGCTAGAAACATAAGCAGGTTTTTTTTTTTGAACATCTTTTGTTTTTGATATAATTGAACATGGCACATGTCCATTAGCCAACTGCAGACAGCAGAACTGTTTGTAATGAGAGGAGGGGAAAGTGTTCTGTAAATGTTTATTCTGTGTTGGTGCTGGTATCATATGGGGATGATGCACTTCCCAGGCAAACAGTAAGCAGGATTTTAAATAGCATCTGTTGGGGTGAACACTTTTTGATCAGTAGGCTTCATAAGTGGTGTTTGTAGTCTTACAAAAGCCAACTAAATGCATCTGTGGTGTGCTGTGTATCAGTTCGTGGACTGTTAGGGAAAGCTCAAAAGGCTGGGAAAGGGGCAGTTCTGTGCTGATGCTTAAGGACATCAAGAGGACTGACACAGGTCAGCTAACTGATATCAGTCCAAGTGTGAAATACTGAAGCAGTGGATAAGCAAATTGCTTCTTTTTAAAACAAGCAAGAAATCCAGAGCAATAAAATAAAATAATTTTGAATGGAAATAACAAGAACATGTCTGTCAAAAGTAACCTGATCTGATTGTTCAGAAGATCACTGATAATATTTTTCTGTATCACTCTAGTGATAATGGGTAACTAGAAAATTTACTTCACCTAGAAAGTTATGATTAAAATAATAAAAAAGGAATATACTATGTTAAAGTAATCATTAACTCCTTTAAAGAACAGGCTAAATAGCAGATCTCCTGGGATAACTGTCAGTGCAACATAAACAGTTTCTAAAATGGAGCTGGAGAAACTGATTTTTACAGTGACTGGAAATAACCTAGTTGATCAGCAGAATGATGAAGTCTGAGTTGCAAGAAACTGGAGCCCTACAGCAGGACAAGAGGTAAGACTTTAGCTCTCCTCCCCCACCCCCCTTTAAGCACACTTTATTAATAAACATTGGTCATGCACGGAAACAAGTGATTTATCCAGCTATGGTTGTCCTGACTCGGGACAGTCATTCTTAGGTAGCTGGGTGAGTATGGCTGATAAGACTGTGTGGCAAAGTATTCTTCTTTTCAATGAGCAGATAATACTCTCAACCATTTCTCACGCTTAGGATTCTCTCCGTGTTTCGTCCTGTGCAGTGTGCACAGAAGTGATTCCAGCCGTAGCTGTGTCTTCTTTGACTGGTGTGACCTTGTTCTTCATCTGTTACAAATGTTAACAAGCAAGTAATTAAAGTAGGCACCCTAGTTCAGCAACATTTAACCTCTAATTAAGCAATCTTAAAGCATTATTTACCGAACTATACACTCAGAGCAGGTTAGAGAACAGTCTGTTAAACTGGTAGTGTAATGCTCCTGTGCTTAAGTAGAGCACTTAAGACTCCACTGTAAAGTAAGGTTCAATAGTATTTACTTAGTTGATCAGGGAAGGATTATCAGGAGACAATTAGTGTATATAAATATATGTATCTTAGGATTGAAAACACTGATTAGAAGGGATCCCTGGTGGTCCCTTTAGCAGAGAAAGCTAGAATAAGAAGTAGCAGTTGTTCCAGAAAAAAAGCTGATGTTGCAGAAGATCTTAAGGCTTGATTCAAATGCTGCCCAAGTTGGTCCAAAGAACTCAAGCTGGCGGCAGAGAAGAGCAACAGTCCCAAGACATAACTTGCTTATACTGGCTGAAAGTAAGGCCAGGTCCTCCCAGCAGACTTGTCATTGATGCAGCCCATCCAATGTCAGGAAATGGTAGTTAGAGGTAACAACAGGATTGCTCCACTCCGACATGCTACAGAGAAACAGTTGACACTTTCTCTGAGTCCCAGAAAGGAGAGAGATGAAGGGTATCTAGTCATTAACTTTGCTCAGTGAAGTTTCCGTCAAAACAGCAGTATGCTGAGGTGGCTGAGCCCAGACTACAGTGCAAGCACAACATCCAGGCTTGTGCTAATTGGCAGCAGGAACTCTTGATATTTTCTTTCTCCTGGAGCAGGGAAGGCACATTGGAGATGTATCAAGTGTTTCTTCGTGGATTATTTAAGGTCACAAATATCCAAACTTCTGAGTTACCTTAGAATTTGGGCCCTTAGAAATGGACCTTTCTGATTTGGCAATTTCTGAGCTGTTCTCTGTTGTATAATTAATAATGGACCCTGCTTGAGCAGGGAGGTTGGGCTAGATGATCTCCAGAGGTCCCTTCCAACCTAAACCATTCTGTGATTCTGTAATGGGTGTACTTTTTTCCCTGCCATGTGAACCAGAAGGGCAAACTGTGGAGAAGTTGACAAGCTAAGTAGCAACATCTGGGGAGCATGCACTCCATGGCTGCTCTAAAACAGTGGTAGTAAACAATGAACAGCTCAGCAAGCTCCTCACAAAGATAACACAAGGGGCTTGCCAATCTCCAAAGAAAGCCTTCTGGTCTTCTGGATAACTTGGTCTGGGTTTCTTTCCTCATCTAGAAAATGGATATATAGCTTGTGAACAACTGGTCCAAAGGAAGGATGAAAGATGATTTATCTGGCCAGAAGAGTTACTCAGGTCAGTGCTAAGAAACAGCAAAACAGTATCTGCAGCAAGAATTGCTACACAAGGCAATGTGCTTCCTGGGAACACCAGGGCTATGTGGCTACAAACTTGCTGCAATGGAGAGGTTGTTATCCAATGAAGTCAAGGCAGAAGGTGATCCCTGACTGTTTGATCCAGATCGCTTCCCTGTTAACTTCTTATCCTCTGCCTCAGTCTCATCTTCACAACTGTTTAAATTTAA